GATTGTGTGGGGGAGTCTCACCTCTCTTGACCTCTAGGGAAACCTCTTCTCCCAGGGCATTTTCTGAAGGGGGGTGCAACGGGGAAGGGAGTTGCGGGTTCCCTCCACAAACCTCACCCCCAAGCCCTCCAGGCTGGGGCCCCCCACCTGTGGGAATGAGCACAACCACTCACCTGAGAGAGAGCAGGGCTGTGCCAGTGGATCTGAACTCATCAAAGGCAGCGGCCTTTCCTGTGGGTGGCTGGGCAAGAGCTCACAGGATGACAGGCTGGAGGGGGCAGGGGTGGGGCCCAGTGAGGAGCTGGGGCTGCTCCCTCTGTGAAGGCGAGTTTGACCTTTTTTCAGGAAGTTGTGCTTAGCTCCTTGGCAGGGGTGGCCCGCCTGCACTGTGGTGCCACCCTGGACCCCACAGTACACCCTGGACCTCAGCAGTACACAGGTGCAGCCCCGCCCACGTGACTCCGTGACGTTTTCACTTTCTGCTCCTACAGAAGGGACTTCAGCCTCTATATTCATTACCCAAACAGCTTCCGAGGAGGGGAGGCAAAGGACCATCTTTTGGCACTCATGGAGCAGAAGATGGGGTCTGGTGGGCTCAGGGAGGGGGAAGCTCACTGAACAATGCCACCAGATAATCCATTTTTGGTTCGACGCAGGTTTGTGTGTCGGGCACTTGAAGGCTGCTTGCTTTGGTGCATTCACACCTTTAGCCTTCCCCAGCCAGCATGGGCACTGTTTCATCGCATCCCCGTTACTGTAAACTGCTTTACGCAACACTTCCTGAGTCCTCACTATGTGCCAGGCCCTGTGCTAGCTAGGTGATGGGGATACATCAGTGAGCAAATCAGTGGTTTCTGAGCTGAGGCAGAGCTGACAGGGTCTGGTGACTGATGCTGGTGACTGGTGAAGGTTCAGCAGGAGTCAAGGATGAGACGTGGGTTTCCGGCGAAAGTGAGTTGGGTGGAGGGTGAACTCCCTGGAGCAGGTGGTGAGGAGATGCTCAGGAGCCTAAATTCATCTGGGGAAGAGCAAGGAGATGGTGGGGCTGTGTGCAAGACCCCTGACCAGGGGCGTCCACTCTCTGGCATCCAGCCTGGATGCCCATCTTTCCCCAAAATCATTGGTGTCACTTGGAACCAACTCTTAGGCTAGTGGAGATTTTCCTGCTTTGATGCAAAATGTGTGTCCCTGTGATTTACACCTTACTGCTGTCTTTCGGCCCCACCAACCAGCCTGACAAGTCTCCCACTTTTTTTTCCCCCTTCCCAGTCACTTCTTCCTTCTGCCACAGCCTCCAAGTAATAAGCCTGGGAAGTTGCTTTACCTATTTTTTCTACTTTCTTTGACAATTAATTTATTTCTAAATATTTTATAAAAGTACAGTTTTTAAAATTTTTTAGGTGGTGCTGAAAGGGCAGAATTTTCCACCCCATCCAAGTTGCTTTAAACAAGTATTATTTTTCCATCTGATGTGGCCACCTCTGCCCTCTAGTGGCCAGTGGTGGTGCAGCATGGGGCTGAGTGCTCAGCTGATGTACTGGATTCTATCTATCCTTGGGGGTCTTCTTGCCCTTCTTTTCTGCACCCTTCCTCCCACAATCCCTCCCATCCCCATCTTGTCCTTCCATCAGGCACAAGGAGTGTCCAGGCACAAGGAGTGCCCCCCCCCCACAGAGACAGTTCTCAAATCACATAACAGCTCTGGTTTCTTGGGTGAGGACCCAGGTGGCCACAGCAGCCTGCTAACTCACACTCTTTTCCCTGCTCATCTCTAGCACAGCCTCGGTGCCCTTCTTACTAGCACCTACACGTATCTTCTGCAGTTGGTTTCCAGGCAGTATCCAGGCAGTATCCAGGCAGTCTCGGCGATGTCTCTCTCTTGCTTATAACTTCCCGTGGCTTACTTTCACACCTGGGTTAAATCAAAACTGTTTTCAGTGTGACCCTCCATAATCAGGCCTCTACGTCTCCTGAGATTTCCTCATAAACATCTTGTTTCCTGGGTGAGCTGGCCTTTGCTATTCTCCATGTGTGCCTGACTCCTCCCAACCTCAGGGCCTCTGAGCATGCTCTTCTCTCCCCCACCCCCCTCATTAATTAGTTTAAAGTCACCTCCTCAGAGCGCCCCTCTCTGACCACCCTGTCTGAAAAAGCACCCACCACGCTAGCATCTGTGCATTCCTTTCAGCCGTTTATTCCACCCCATAAATTTGCTCGTAAACTCGTTCATGATCTGCTTCTCTTAACCAGAGTGTAAGCTCCACTGGACCCTGTGGTGGGGAGGAGAAGTTACAGGAGACGCCTCTGACCAACACTGGAGTTGGGGAAAGGACTAGAACTAGCATTTTGTTGACTTTTCCATCTTGTATTTCCAAAATGAAAGAGGTTGAGTTCTTTCAACCTTATTTTGGATTCATCTGTTCATAGGTGATAATGAAAAACTCTACATAAAATATGTTTGAGAGTCCTAGAAAGAATCAAATAGTTAGAATAGGGAGCGGATCTGACCCCTGAGGACGGGAACCAACCACAGCAACTTAGGGAGATCCACCACCTTGCTGTTTCTTCTCCAAACCCCCACCTCCACCCCCAGTCTAGACCTAAACGCAAGAGCAGCCATTTTACTGGCTTATCAAGTCAGCAGAGGCAGGTGCAGAGTGTATAGGGACATTTACAGACATGCCCAGATCGTTGTTTCCAGTAAAATCAATTGAGGCTGTATGAATTTTGCTTTCTAGTTCACTCTTTCAGCCCATTTCTACTCTTCATATTCACTTATGGTTGTTAATCATGGGAACACTCAAAGGGAAGTTTCTTGTTTGCAAATCACAAGGCAAAATCGTTTCCTGGCTGGGGAACCTCACTTACAACAATCTAGTTGATATTTGTAGAGCATTGTACCCAACAAGTACAGAATACATTCTTTTTAAGTGTAAATGGGACATTTATCAAGATAGAACATATTGAGCCATAAAATTAATCTCAGTAAATGCCAGAGATGACAGTTTTTAAAGCTCACAGACTATGTTCATTAAGCACCAATGAATCACAGTAAAAGCAATGGTGTAAAATATCTAAAAGTGCAGAAGAATTTGGAAATTAAACATGTTTCAATGAGCCATCAGTCAAAAATAATCTCAAATAAGAATGATTTAAACTGAGTATAAATATGAGTTACATTTCTGAGATGTAGCTAAAGCAATGCACAGGTGGACTGCATTGCTTTAAATGTTATATTAGACAAGAAGAAAGACTTAAGATTGATGGTCTTCGTTTCCATCTTAAGACTCTAGAGAATATCCCTTTAAGCCCAGAATGAGCGGTAATATAGAACAGATTTAAGTGACATAGAAAACAGTGGAGAAATATTTTAAAACTGTGTTTTTTTTTTTAAAAAAAAGATTAATCCTATTTATAAATTCCTAGTACACCGATGAATTAAAAAGAAAAATAAAGTAAAGTTCCATTACTAGGAAGTTCAGGAGAAATCAGTACAGATCCTACAGAAAATGAAAGGTTAGAAGGGAATATTTTCAACAACTTTATGCTAATGCATTTCACAACTAAGATGAAATGGAGACATTGCTTGAAATCACATATTGCCAATACTTAAATAACAAGAGACACAGGATATAAATAGATTTATCAAAGGGATTGAGTTCATTATTACAAACCTTCCCACCGAGGAAACAGAAGTCCCAGGAGCTTCACTGTTGAATCCTGCCAACAATTTAAGGGGAAAATACCAATACTACATAAACTCAGAAAATAGAAAACTTGAAAACACTTCCTAATATATTTTGTGAAATCAGCATTATCCTGATGTCAAAACCTGACAGAGACATTGCAAAGAAAGAAAATTTTAGAACAGCATTTCTCATGAATAGGGACATAAAAAGCCTCAACAAAACACTATCAGGTTGAATCAAACAATGTATAAAAAGGATAATTCACTCTGACCAAGTGGGATTTGTCTCAGGAATGCAAGTTTGGTTTAACATTTGAAAATTTGTGTAATTCATCACATTAAGCAAATAAGTGCTTTTTGGGGAAAAAAAACAAACATAATCCTCTCAGAAGATTTAGGAAATCACTTGGCAATTCAATCTCCATTTATGATAAAAACTCATTCAACTACAGTTACTAGGGAGCTGTTTCAGTTTGATCTAGCACATTTATTTAAAAAAAAACTGAATTTGGGGGAGGGAACACAATTTAGTCCATAGAAATACATACATATTCTATGATATCCGGAAAATAAAAATAAGAGGAAGGAATTAAAAGTCATGTAATCTCATTACACAAATGAAGTCACTGTTAATATTTTGGTGCACTTCTTCCCAAAGTTCTGTTATTTCAGCATCTGTGCAGTTGTGTTCATCCTGTAATCGACCTTTCTGGGTCATGATCTGTTTCATTTAATGTAAAAGGTGTCGCATTTTTGGACATAACTACTACCCTTTGTAAGTGTCCCTTTTTAATAGTCACAAAAGCTCCCACTGAGTGACTGGACTGTGGTTTGATTGTTCATTATCCTGTAATGGATGCTGAGTTAGTTTCCAGGATGTTGCTATTGTAAATAATGCTATGATAAATATATTTGTATGGGAGGCTTTTTTTTTTTTTTTGGAACTCAGCTTCCTTTCTTGGGATAGAATCCCAGAAGAATGAAAATGATAACTGGAAAGGATGTGCTCTAATCACATTTGCCAAATTGCTCTCCAGAAGAAGCAATGGGCGTTACCCCAGTTTGCATTACCCAGGCAACATGGCTAATGGGGGCCGTATCTGTTTGTTCTGGAAGAGGGGGTGGTCTCATCCACTAATGCATGCAATGGTTTGTCCCCGCAGGTTAAGCAAGCAGAGGACGGAAGTCAGCTGGGGCAGGGTTCCCCACTCTTCTGACCCAAGACCCTCCTGCTCTTTCTACCTGCTGTCTCTGTCCTGGGCCTCACCTGGACACACCTGAGTAGAGACAAGCCATCCATCCATCCACAGCCATGAATTTCCTCCGGCGGCGCCTCTCGGACAGCAGCTTCGTGGCCAACCTGCCCAATGGCTACATGACGGACCTGCAGCGCCCAGACAGCTCTACCAGCTCCCCTGCGTCCCCGGCCATGGAGCGCAGGCACCCCCAGCCCCTGGCGGCCTCCTTCTCCTCTCCAGGCTCCAGCCTTTTCAGCTCCTTCTCCAGTGCCATGAAGCAGAGCTTGCAGACCCCCTCAGGGCTGATGGAGCCCCCGGGCCCCTCCATACCCATTGTTCAAAGACCCAGGGTCCTGTTGGTCATCGATGATGCCCACACCGACTGGTAAGCAGGAATCTATGGGTGCTCCCTCTTAGGGGAAAGGGAGGCCAGGGGCCCAGCTGAGCCCTGATGTGGGGAGAGGGGAAGAGTATTTCAAGGCTCTGAGGTATCGGAGACTGGAGGAAGGGGAGGAGACTCACCTGGACCTGTGGCTCCCGTGAGCCAGGGCCATGCCACCCCTTGCCATTCTCCTTCACTGTCCCACGCGGTTGTGGCACAGAGTCGGCCCCCAGTACCTGTGCATGAAATGAAGGAATGAGTGCATCCAGGTCACGAGTGCTGATGCTCTTACTCTGCATGCACCCCTGCACACCCCTCCACTCCTGAAGTCCAGGCTGGGAACCCCTGAGCTTGCATTTGGGAATGGAAGATAGTTACGGTCTGTAGTACGCAGTACACAGAGTCAAGCCACGGCGTGTTCAGCAGGCTCAGATGCCAGGCTGCTTTCTTGCTAAGAAATCACTCACCTCCCAGGACCGCTGAGCGCCGGGCCTCTGCTCTGACCCAGGCTGCATTGTCTCCTGTTCTGCTGCTTGCTCAAAGGCTCCTCTCTGCAGCCTCGATTCCCTCAGCTGATTTCTGCAGAAGCGTAGTCCAGGCCCTCTGACTGGCCATCCCTCTGCCTGTCCGTGGTAACCAGAACGCTTGTACGGACGTGGCGGACTTCTGTCCCTTTCTGACTCCGTGTTTGACCTTGATTTTGAGTGTTCCCTTCTGAATGTGTTACCAGGGACTCAGTCAGTTTTCAGGGATATGATGATGGGGGAGTATTGAGCAACCAAGTCAGGAATACAGCCAGATCACTCTTCTAAGGGACTCCTATACAAACCAAAATGCAAAATCCAGAGGGAGGGATGATTGCAGGGCTGGAGGTGCAGAGAAGGCATGGGGAGAGACCATTCAAGGGTATGTTCTTGAAATTGATAGATAACTAAGTCCAGGAGATCGAATAACGGGGCAGTGATTATGGACCACAAAACTGCATTGCACACGTTAATTTTGCTAGGAGACTAGATTGGAATTGCTCCCACACCAAAAAATAAAAATAATGAAATAAATCCTAATGATGTGGCGAGAGAGAGCTATAGCTAAAGCAGTCATATTGCGATATAAATGTAACACATCAGTGTGGGGTTCCATTAAATCCACATGGTATTACATGTCCAGTATACCTCAATTTTAAAAAGCTCTGTTTTTTCAGGGAAGTTATTTTCTGCAAGGAGGCAGATCGCCTCAGTGGCTCTGTGATGCCCAAGTTGAGAATAGAGACTTCAGCAAAGCCCGTCGGGTGCAAATCCCATCCCTACCCCACAGTAGCTATGCGGCTGTTGTAAGTTGACAGCAGCTAAAATGGGAATCATAATAATGGTCACCGCTAGCTAGTAAGCGTGGGTAGAGCTAACAGCTGAGTGCTCCGATCTGTCCGGTAGACAGGAAGTGTTGTTTCGGTGTGATTTGTTGCAGGATCGTGACCTTCTGTCATCGCCCCTTGTGGGCCTGCCTGTTTGATTTCTACCAGCCCAATATTGGGAGCGTGGATTAGGATTTACCCCACAATGGCAGGGTTTTGTGCTGTTCACTCTTTGTCGGGAGTTCTTAAGTGATGAAAGTTGGGTCTTAATTAACCTCTGGCCCCAGCCCCTCCCCCCATCGGGCTTGTGAGGGCGCAGTGAATGTGCCTGTAAGGCAGTGAATGAATGGCCGCTCCCTGGGGACATTCTCATTTTGGGTTTTCATTCATTCTAATCTCCAGGCGTGAGCGGCTTCATTTAGGGTGAGCCCATTGATGGGGATGTGATTTTGGCCACTGAACGTTTCCTGATTTATTCCAGTTATGTCTCATATGCCCATACTTTAATAACGCATTGACAACAGCAGTCTTACTCCTGCCCCTCCGTGGGTAAGAAAAGAATCGAGAAACAGATTCATCAACTCACCTGGAAGTTGCACCTGCAGTCGCAGGGTGTTAGTGATGGAGACTTCCTCCTTGCCGACACATCGGCTTCTCATACAGAACTCCATCTGATATTCTTCAGGGACTTATTACTAACCTCTCTGAAGCTCAACACATTCCCCATTTCCTCCAAATGGATGCTAACTGGCTTAACTTCCCAAGCCTTCTCTGCCAAGTTCCTTGAAGTTGCGTTTTCCCTGCTCCCAGAAGCTGCCAGCAGGTGGCGCTCCAGCCCCACTGTCCCGGCCGGCCTTGGCAGGGCCTGGGCTCCCTGGGTCCGGGCCCTCCTTCACTGTGCCAACTGTCTCCAGAGAGGAAGAAGTCGTTAAAGGGGCGAAGCCAGCTCCCACAGTCCCTTTCTTCCCCCTCTGAGATGATAATGAGGGGGGAGATGATCCACCATCTGTATGGTCTGAGAGTGAACCCACCGGAACGACTCTGCTCAGCTGCTGTCTTCTCCTGGTGCAGCCCCAGGTCCTTCTCTGTTTTCCACCCCCTGCCCAGGGCCTTCCTGCAGAACAGGCTGCCTTGCAGGCCAGAGAATGTCAGGAACAGCTCCACCCGCCACCCCCACCGCATTCCCTCCTGGCTGAGACCAGCTTGCAGACTCTGACCCCCCTAAGGCCCCAGGACCTGGCCTATAACCAGGGGGCTCTCATGGCTGAGCATTTGGGGTTGCCCTGGAAGGGAGCTGGGCTAGGGGAAGCTCTAAACAACAGGTCTGAACTATAAGTTGGTGCTGCCACAGGACGGGGCAGTCTCAAGAACCACCAGGGAACGAGAAATGAGTCCTGTGGCGATTCTACTAGTTCTGTTACCTAGAATGTTCTAGCAGCCTCGCTAGTCTCAGCCCTCCGGTCAGCCCTTGCCCCCGGTCACCCTCCATGTGAGCACCCAGTGTCCTCTTCCTGGAACAGGAATCTGGCCCCTTTGCCACCACGCCCTCCATGTGTGCGTTTGCAGCTCTCCCTCCCGGGGGCACATCATTGCCCTCGGGTTTAGGCTCAAAGTCGTGTCTGTCTGCTCTTTCCTGGTCCACTCGGGCTCCAGGTCTGCTTTGCTGTTTATCGCGCTGGAATGGCAAACAACCTGTAGTCCTCAGACGTGCACTTCTGCCATAGCACGTCCTGTCCTGGGCTCCCGGGATGCCTTATCTCGTTCACCTGGCCAGTTTCCAGTCATCCTGAAGCACCTGCCGAGTGTCACCTCTTTGTGACTCTCTCCCCACCCCACCTCGCCCACACCCCACGCTGCCATGTTAAGCTGGCTGTTAGGTGGCTGCCTCATTCTTACATCTCTGGTGGTCAAGACCCAGTAAATGTTCAGCTAACACGTGTCCTGTCCTCAGCCAGTCCAGTCCGGATACCTCCAGTGGGCCATGGGGCGTCCCTGGGAGGTGATGGTTCCACTTAGGATTTCTCCGCTTCCCATGGGGTGAAAGCACCGTGCACACACTAGACTCTGAACCTGGGATGTTTTTTTTCCTTTTAAAGATTTATTTATTTATGCATACAAGAACTGGAGTGTCAGCCAGAGTTATGAAGGTGGGAGGATTCACAGAGTGGGGAGCAGAACAGGTGAATCCACTTCTGAGGGGAGCAGCGGGGAGACAGGAGAGGTCTGCAGGGCCAGGTGGAAGATGGAGCTGGTGCTGCAGTGACTGTGGACAGCTTCACAGTGCTGCGCTTTAACTCCTTGCACCACCAAGGAGGGCCCTGAACCTGGGGTTTTGACTGTCGGTCTCTTCCTGGGCAGTGATGCAGGGCCCAGTCCTTTCTTGGGGCTGGTCAGCCTCAGGGCACGTGACATAGCTCCTGTCAGCCCCGATTACAGGAAAGCAAGAGCCTACCACGGACTGTTTTTTTTGGAGATCGTTGCTTTTGCATCCCACCATGTCTGCCTTTCACTTTCAGAGCAGTGTTCGACAAGGGACAGGAGCCGCTCAAAGCTTTGGTATAAAAGGGTCGTGTTAGATGAGTTTGTCCAGCTGCAGGCTGACGTCAGCGTTCTGAGCACATTTAAGTTGTTGAGGCAAAACTGATGTTCCATTGGCGAGGTGTGCAAAACGCACTTTGAACGTATGATGCACGTTCAGATGGGTGTGTTTGGATGTAACGCCGTCGCCAGTTGGGAAGCTCCACTCTCCAGACAGTTGAGGGGTTTCTGTTTTCACTCACCTGTGTGTAAAATCTTGGGTCTTTATTTTCCAATATGAGACTATCTTCCACGCGAGAAGAACTGTAGAGCTGCTATTTGAAATTTTTTTAAAACAAACTTTTCTACTAGTATCCCCAGAATATACCAGAATCCTAGGTTTTGCTTTCAAAGTCAAAACATTGACCACTGACAGTGACGAAAAGAAAAAAAGAAGATTGCCTGCCACCCAGTTAGGCGTGGCTCTGACCCCCCGATCTCTTTCCCATTTTTCCCTCCAGCAGTCCTGGACTCTGGCTCTTTTAACGTCACTGGTGGCCTGTGTCCTGGACTGTTTGCTGTTCCCTTTCAACAATGATCCCTTGTTACCTGCCCTTTTATTCTCCACCTTTCCCTATGGCTTCTTATTTTTTTCTTTTTATTTTTGTCAGGGAGGAAATGAAAAGGTTATTCTCGGCTTGAAGCACCCCCAACTACTATCTATCCCTCCTGGAGTATAACAGGTTATCTGTGCTACTAAATGCTGGTTAGTGATACCACGAAAGCATCTTGTGCTTTTCTAGATTCACCCTGAAGTATTATGCCTTGTGGTCATCTGTGACCACACCACCCCACCCCCTGGTAGATGCTTCAATGCCCAGAATGGGGCAGGCAGAAAATAGGTGCTGAAGAAATGCCGGTGGTCTAAATGAGTGATTTTGGAGGTGATGTGATTAGTTGTGGGGGGTGTGACAGTAAAGCCCAGGAGTGACCGTGGTGTCCCCTAAGCTCTCTGCCCCCTTCTCTCTTATGTGTAACCACAGAAAGTCACAGCAGCCTGGAGGGAGCAGAGTTTGCATCCTGGGAACTGGAAATGATGCACACCGGGCCTCTCAATTCTCTCCACAGAGCTGGC